GCGTGGGCGCTTCCTGCGCACCAAGTGCCACCCATCATCAGCCATCTTGGCTGAGAGTCAATATGAATATTTATTTATTTTTATAAAGGTGTAAAATAAAATTATTTATTATGAAGAAAAAACAAACAACTAAAGGCGCTTTCAAGTGAAAGGATGTTCTTGTAAAAGTAAAGTCTTGTGTTTAGAAAAATAAAAAATAAACTATTTTTTGTTTGTAAATAAATAAAAAAATAAATCAATAAACTAATAAAGGTGTGCCAAATCAAACGACGTTTCGACCGAATACGGTCTTCCTCAGGTAGGCACACAGAAAAGGTGTCGATGGCTTAGGAGCTGAAAGTATGTCCTGCTCTGTCGACGTCCAAACGAGAAGTGACAAGAGCTCCCTGCTGCTCTATTTATACCCTCCCCTTTTTTTCATTTTATTTTCAAGTTGAATTTGACAATTTGGTTTTACTGGTTTCCCAAATAAAATAGGTTTCTCAGGTAAGTATTAGATTTCTAAATAAGGTAAGTGTATGTTTGTTATTAAATGAATATGAGGGTATAATTTAAGATAAGTTTATTTAAAAAATGTATTATTAATGTTTATATGAATTTTAAAGAATATAAAATAAGGTAAGTATGGGTTTGTTAAATTAGGTAAGTATAAATTTGTATTATTAATGTTAGTATGGATTTTTAATGTTTATAAAATAGGGTAAGTATTGGATTTGTTTAATAAGGTAAGTATATATTATTCTTGATGTTGATTTATAAATTTTGAACTGTATTGATTTATGAATTTTTAAAAATTAGGAATTTTTAGGGTATATGAATTAAGGTGAGTATGAAATTATACAATTAGGTAAGTATGTATTGATGATGTAATTTTGACTGTATTAATTTATGAATTTTGGACTTATGAATTTTTAACATACCTTATTAGAAATATTAATTTATATCCAACTAGGAAATTAAGATTAGGGCTTAGGATCTGGATAAAATTAGGGTTAGGATTGGACTAAAGGTTAGGGTTAGGGTAAAATTAAAGTTAGGTTTAGGACTTAGGTTAGGTTTAGGTCAAGATTAAGGGTTAGGCTTAGGTTTAGGATTGGGTTAACAGTTAAGCTTAGGGTAAGATTGAAGATTAAGTGTAGTGCTTAGGTTAGGTTTAGGGGTTAGGGTTAGGGTTAGGGTTAGGGTTAGGGTTAGGTGAGAACTAGGGTTAGGGTTAGGGTTAGGGGTTAGGGTTGGGGTTGGGTTAGGGTTAGGTCTGTATAGGATGAGAGTAGAAAGCCAGAGTAAGGTTCAGGTGCACTGGCCTGGGGGCGTGCGGTCCGTCGTACAGACCCCACCTCCCTGGAAATAAATTGTATTTAAATAATAGTGGAGATTGAAAGTCAAAATAACAAACGAATAATGTAAAACAAATTAAGAAAACAACAACAACAAATCAAACAAATGTACACTTGTATTGTTAAAAGATGCTGAATCCGTGTTGTGTTTTCTTGTTCACAGGTGCAGCTCAGGAGTTATGCATATGAAGATGACAGTAAACTCAACACAAGATGGTGGGTAAATTTAACAGTGTGAGACAGTCAGATGATGCATGTGGATCAGAATATAGAAAACAAGCTCAGACAAAAATATAATGGGACATAATTAGTAGTTTAGGGTTAGGGTTAGGGGTTAGGGTTAGGGTTAGGGGTTGGGGTTAGGGGTTAGGGGTTAGGGTTAGGGTTAGGTTCGAAGTGAGTGAAGTTAGCAACCCAATCAGGGCTCTGGTGCACTGGCCTGGGGGCGTGCGGTCCGTCGTGCAGACCCCGCCTCCCTGGAAATAAAATATATTTTTTAAGAAATAATTTCAGAAAGAAAATAAAATAAAAACTGGTGAAACACAGGAGGCAACACATCAACGAAATAAATTGTGTAAAATTAAATCGTGATGCAACGTGCTAATTCCAGGTGTGTTTACACTGTCAAAGGTGCAGCTCAGGAAGTATTATGCATATGAGAAATGACAATCAGAACACAAGGTAAGTTGGTTATTACAAATTAGTGGTGTGAGAGAGTCAATATGCATATGGGACAGAATGTAAAAAGGACAAATCCAGACAGAGAAAGTGGAGATTGTGACATTCATGATTTTTTATTGGTATTGTTTAAATAAAATTATAGTGAGTTGAATTATTGAATAGTGTCACTCTTAATTTTCCAAGTCTGATGTGTTGGTCCGGAGATGGTAACGGGCCGAGTTCCCTCCGCTCTCTATCCTGCATACAGGTTCAGGTGAATAATGAGGTGAGGAGATGGTAATGAAAATGAGTAGGGATGATGATGATGATGATGATGATGATACAACACGTCAAGCTCGGCCTTCCCAATGTGAATTTAAGAGGTAAGTGATACATTTGAAATTGGTAAAAGTCCATGGTGCCGTATGAGTTATGTATAAGGTTGTAATAACATGTTGAATAACTATGATGTAATGTGTTGTGAATTATCTTGTGTGTGATGTGCTGTAATTAATCTATGTGTCATGTAGGTCTGAAATTAAGTTGTCCAGCTCCCCTAGCCAGTGGGAGAAGATAGCACTGGCTGTCTCTGTAGTCCACTGTATGTTGTCAGTTTGTGTTATGAAATCCTGGTCCGGGAAAGCTGAGAAATGTGTATAGTGTTTTATTATGTGATTATTGATTATTGCCAGATTGTGCTGTTCTATTGCTGGTAGATGTGGTGAATGGTTGATAATAGGAACGATTATGGAAGCATTAGGGAAGGCCGAGCAAGCCTTGTTGACCACAGTTCTGAGCTGTTTCACAGAGGTGTTGTGGGGATCCTGAGCCCTGTTATTTAGGCCCACCGAGAGGATCAGCACTTTTGGGTTTCTGTTAATTGGTGTTTTTTCCAGAATCTTCCAGAAATGATAGAAGGAGGCTCCCGGGTAGCTGTCAGCCTGGACAAAAGGGTGGTTAAATTTGGGGATTCTGTGTATGTTTGAATCCCCCAGTATGGCAATTGGTTTATTAATTTTGAATTCCCAGTCCCGCAGCTTGCGGTTGTCTCTGGCCTGATGGTAAGTGGGGTCAGAGGCTGTGTCTGCGCATGCGCCCGCGCCCGGTGGGGAGAGCCCCTCGGCTCGGTACGTCTCCCGGCAGGTGTATTTTTGGAATGGGTGAGGAAAGATCAGAGTTGGAATAGTAGTCTGTCATGTTGACTTTTTGACCTAAATTACTCATCATTTCATTTTTCCTCACAGATTCTGTGTTACACCGGGGAGCCGCCTCTGCCTCAGTGGGTGCGCTCTCCCCACCCTGATGTGATCTGGGCGCGGGCGCCGGGAGATGGAAGGTGCCGTTTAATACTGACCCCAGGCCAGACTCTGCATGAACGCAGGTAGGTGTTGGGGTGCTACTGCGGGACTGGGAGCCCTGTGTGTCATTATTGTTTTTTTGAGTAATTATTTTTGTTACTCCAGGCTGACAGCAGTCCTCGAGAGCCATGGCATTCACCGTCCTCTGGGGGCAGCGCCTGTGGGGGGAAGTAGGAGGTGAGTGGTAGTCTGGGACTGGGGTGTTGTCCAGAGGCTGTGGAGAGATGTGGTTAGGCTGAGGAAAAGAGGGCTCCGTGTTAGGCAGGTGAGGAGGGAGGGAAAAGAAAAATCCTCATCTGAATCACAATATTTCAGGGGGGAGGAAGGGTTAGAAAGAGTGGCTGTGGTGAAGAGCAGATCATGTGCAAATGTAATTGTGTCTGGATCGATTCTGTTGCCGTAGCGTCTAAGAGCCCATTGTGTGGCTACTGTAAACGCCAACTCGTTGCCAGGGGTGTTAAGGAGATGTGTGATTATGTCTTTGTAATGTGCTAATAAAATGTGCATGTTTTGCCATAACCAAGTGAGTGTGTTTTCTTTGAGTGTGTCTGTTGTGTTTTGTGATGGAGAGGATGGTTTTATGAAGCTGGCCAGTTGGAGTGTTTTGCGTAACATCCCTTTAGGAATTTCGCCCTCCTCAAAAGCCTGCTGTATGTTGTTGTGATGATGTGTGGCTTGTATAAGTTTTAAGTGATGTTTAGCTGCAAAACGGGTGGATGTGTCCAGTGCCTGTTTAATTGGTGTGTGTGTGTTCGTATGTGCGGTGTTGTTTGTGCCGTGTGTGCTGCTGTGTCTGCTTTCCGGTCCGCTCTGTGTGTGGGGAGAAAAAGAAAAAGAGAGAGAGGGAGGGGGTCCTGTAAGTTGCAGCCGCGGGTCTGCCTGCTCCCCCCCCGACCCCGCTCGTGTCGGGGTCCGCTGCCCTCCGCCCTGTGTGCACCCGTGTGTGTGTGTGACCCACCTGCGTCCATCTCGCTGCATGCGGTTGTTGCGGTTTCTGCGTCATGTCGTTCCGTGTTTCCGGGTTCTCTGTGGAGTAGACTGGGTGGAAAAAGTCTTATTTCTTTTTAATCCAACAGAGGAGGAAGCCGACAGTTGCGGGAGAGGAGGATGAAGCGCTCAGGTAGGCAAGGTGTTCACACCGGGTGCTATTAAAACGTAACTTTTAATGATTTAAATTTAAAAAACCAACGAGGGTCCTGGTTCCGAATAATAAAGAGACTAATTAAAAAGTTTAAGGAGCGGCAGCGGCTCCGCTGACAGAGCAGGATCCCCTGACGTTTCGTGCCTCGCCGGCACTTCTTCAGAGGGGAAATGAAAGGGGGAAAGGGTTAGGGTTAGGGTTAGGGTTAGGGTTACCTGCTGGAGGGCCTGGTGCGGTGGAACGAGAATCGAGGCAGGGCGGCAGTTGAGGGAGGACAGAGGTCGGCACTGCGTTGCTACAGTGCCCAGCTGCAGCACAGCTTCGACCAGCTGACCCAAGAGCTTCTTGGGCTCACGCTGGTCGACACTTACACCGTGCCCAGGGAGTACACAGGTAAGTCATAAATCTGTCTGAGGTAATGGTAACGTTTAACACCTGTCTTAGGTGTCTGTCATTTAACATCTCCTGACACTCCAGGGACTGATGAGGAGGAAGCGGGGGGGGCAGTGATGAAGGGTTCGAGGAGGAGGAGGAGGAGGAGGAGGAGGAAGAGGAGCCAGAGGAGATTCGTCTCCTCGAACACCACAGCGCTCTCCTTCAGTCCTCAAACCTCACCCGCCCCCCCCGCTTGGACCTAATGGAGGTGCAGCAGGCTGAGGAGGAGGACGTTATCGGGCCAGACGGTCGAGGCAGCTACCAGCACGTCGTGGCCCTGGCCCAGGCCCTCGTGGAACTGCGCCACCGCCGCTACGTCACTCCCAGGCAAGCCAGAGAGGTCACCGCTCTCTGGCTGAAATTGAGTGACTGGGACAAGGCGGCGGTCACATTCCCCCCCGTCACCAGGACCGGCTCGTCCAGGGCCGATTCAGGACCACCCAGCGGCACGCTCACACACCAGGGGTGGATAGTGTGAAGCGGTAAGCAGTCACAATAAATTTCCAAGCTTTGTTTGGTTCTTGTTCTGTGCTGTCAGTCACTAACTAACTCATCTCTCTCTCTCTCTCTCTCTCTCTCTCTCTCTCTCTCTCTGTGTGTGTCAATGTAGTGCGGTCCTGGGCAAGGGGGCGGGAGCGGCGCAGTCTCCCGATGTGTCGAGGCTTGTGGAGGCTGTCCTGCTGGACCTCAGCATCCTCCACTGCAGTGAGGGGAGGACTATTGCCGGGGTCCGCATTCATCGCTGGAGTGCCGTCATGAGGGACTATCAAACAATTCGAGAGAATGTTTATAGTTGTGCAGCCCTCATGCAGGCACCCGCATCCAGCTGTATGAGGTCAATCAGCGGACCCTGACGCAATGTTAAGACCTGATCCTTTCTCTCACATCTGATCTGAAGTGGCATTGTGTGTGTGTGTGTGTGTGTGTGTGTGTGAGTGTGTGTGTGTGTGTGAGTGTGTGTGTGTGTGTGTGTGTGTGTGTGTGATGTCATGATTACTAATGTGCATTTGTTACATTCTGTTTTTTAAGGCACACCAAGAGGAGCAAGGCGATGATGAGGGACACCATCGCCATTGCAGTCCCGGGGCCCAGCGCTTCCCAGACTGCAGCGGAGCCCCTGCCTGCCCCACGGACTGTGCTGCAGCAGCCTGAGCAGCCAGACCAGCCCCTCCAGCACCGCCTGCCTGCGGACGCTTCTGGTCTGGCTGCCACCATCAGAGGGCCGCTGGCCCCGGAGCTATACGACCTCATCGTCGCCAGCTCCTCAACTGCCACCACCTCCTCCTCCTCCTCCTCCTCAGCCACCCCACAAGCCTCCACCAGTGTCAGCGCGGACGCCGTCCGTCCACCAGTGCCAGCGCAGACGCCGTCCCGTCCGCCAGCGCAGAGGCAGGTGTCACCCCCTCCACAGCCACAGCTGCCACTGCTCCACCAGTGCCTAGAAACACTGCCTGGAGGCGCAAGCTCCAGGAGGAGAAAGAGCGTCGTGCCCGGGAGCTGGGAGAATATATGAAACCAGCAAAGAAGGTCTCCCACTTCAACTGCAGGCACTGTGGCCAACCAAAGACGCGGGCGTTTGGCCACAGCCGCTACAAGACGGAGACCTTCTGCTCCCGGGCCGACGGGAAAGGGAGAACTGTGGAGCAGTGGCTGGCAGAGGTGAAGGGGCGTGATGGTGCAGCCCCCCCTCCCTGAGCGAACACTTTGTGTGTGTGTGTGTGTGAGTGTGTGATGGGGCAGCTCCCCCTCCCTGAGCGAACACTTTGTGTGTGTGTGTGTGTGTGTGTGAGTGTGTGTGATGGGGCAGCTCCCCCTCCCTGAGCGAACACTTTGTGTGTGTGTGTGTGAGTGTGTGTGATGGGGCAGCTCCCCCTCCCTGAGCGAACACTTTGTTTGTGTGTGTGTGTGTTTGGGAGGGAGGGATTTGTAAATATTGTGTATATAGTGTATTTAGTTAGTCAGTTGTGTTTGTTAAATTAATATTATGTATATAGTTGTCATATATAAGTTATACCTTTTTATTTGTCCCACAATGGGCAAATTCCAATATCTATATAGTTGTATATAGTTGTCTTAATTGTTTTAGTTTAAATAAACTTTTCTTTTTTTAAACCAATGCTTTCTCCTGCTTCTTTCTGCCTTTAAGAAATTAAATAAATATAGGGAAGACTAGGTATCTAGAATAGGTGCCTGATATCAGTAAATCCCCACAAGTTACAGTCACAATACATCATTCCCTCTCCTCACTTGAAACTAGGGTCAAGGGGTCAACCAGGTCAGGTTCAAAGGCTTACTTAGAGACTAGGTGAGAATTGGCCTTTTACAAGTGGACATTGTAAAACAACAGGGGGTGCCGAGGGGCCTTCACTTCTCACCTCCTGGCTTCCTGATTAAAACAACAGGGGGGCTCTTATCTCCTGCGAGAACTTGGGGGTTTGACCGGACTGAGAGAGGGCCGAACTGGTAGGTGTGTCTCCCCCAAGAGGGGTTTCAAAAAAAAGGCAAAAAACAGACAGTCAATTCATTCAAGCATTTTATTTGGACAGAATGGAAGGCAGAAAAGCAAAGCGAAAAACCAGACATGTCACTTCATTAGGTTTGTTACAAATACACTTTTTAAAACTACATATGTGTTTCTATGTACCTTGACTAACAGAGTTCTGTATTGTATTTTATATTTTAGGGGACTACGACTGCACATCCTCCTCATCCTCCTCCTCCTCAGCCTCCTCATCCTCCTCGTCATCCTCCTCCTCCTCCAGCTCCTCTCCTCGACAGCTTCAGGCAGCAGAGCCAGTGGCGGGGACCAGCAAGCCCACCCGTTGCACTGTCTACAGGCGCAAAATTAAAGCGGCAAAGGACAAAAAAGTCCTCCAAAGTAGCAGGGGAAAGCCACAGCACCAGCCTGGGGACCCCTGCTACATCTGTGACCAAGCACGCACGGTGGATGGTGGCCACGCGTACTTCAAGGGCCAATACTTTTGTGCTGTGAAAGAGGGCCCTGGAGGACGCACAGTGCAAGAGTGGACCAGGGAACAGCTTGGCCCTGGTGAGCTGCAGAAGCTCCCCAGAACAACAGCCTGGAACCTCAAATGAAGGTATGAGAAACCAGAGAAACCGGGGGGAAAGTGAGGAAGCCCCACAAACTGAGGATCTGCCAGCTCTGTGGCCAGCCACAGCAGAAAGACTTTGGCCACAGCCAATATGGGGGAGAGCACTTCTGTGCTCTTTATGAAGGGAAGACTGTGGAGCTGTGGCTGGCTGAGAAGAGGTCAAAAAAACATTAAAATTATCCAACTGTACTGTATCATCCAAGCACCTTATATGTTTCATCTGTTCATTGCACCTTATATTTCTTATTTTTACTTTGGACTGCATTATACTGGTTATTTATACATTTTTTATATTGCATTCTATATTGCTTTTTTTGATTGTGTGTGTGTGTGTGTGTGTGTGTGTGTGTGTGTGTGTTTGTTGTTACTGTGTGTAATGCTGCTTCTACACTGCAATTTCCCTGCTTATGTTATACATTTTTAACCTTTCTAATAAACATTTAATTGATTAAATCCTTGTCTTCTCTATTTAAATATTTTTTAACTTAACTTTTTAAACCTGGAGCCATTCATGAGGCCAAAACCATTCAAATATTAATGTACATTTAACCAAACAAACCTGGAGCCATTCATGAGGCCAAAACCATTCAAATATTAATGTACATTTAACCAAACAGGTCTCGTCGCTTTAAATGCGTGCGGGGCCTTTAATTCTCCGTGTCGCCGCCGTATGATAAGTAGCCATGTGCTCGGGATGACGTAGGACAACAGCTTTTGACTGACACATGTCGAGAGAAGGGGGGGAAAGAGGGGATCGTTCCAATTCTTTGGCGTTATAATCGGGAGAAATAGAAGGAGAGGCTCTTTGGGGCTGCTTTTTATCACACGAGCCCGGGGAAATGCGGCCGACCGGGGGCCGGGGGGCCGGCTGCGCGCGCCGCCCTCGGCGCTCCGCACGGCTCCCTTGCTTCTTCGCGCAATATGACCAGCAATGGTCTCTGTATGCCAGCCAATGAGCAGCAGCCAGTGCTGTCGAGCGTTAGTCGAACGTTGTCAGCTCTGGGCCAATGAGCAGCCAGTGCTGTCGAGCGCTAGTCGAGCGTTGTCAGCTCTGGGCCAATCAGCAGCTCGGATTGTCGAGCGTTAGTCGAGCGTTAGACGTTAACGCCCACCTCTTAACCTCACCGGCTGCCGTATGCGACGGACAGAAATCCCCGTGTGTATTTGAGAGAGCAGTGAGATCTGAGAGAGTGAGTAAAACCAAAATAAATAGAATATTAATGTACTGATATAACACAGCGACCCCACTGTACTGTTACGATGTACTGAATGGAGTTAATGTTTTATTACGTTCTGCCGGCACTCTCTGGTTAGCTTATGCTAATATTGAACGTGGACGTCAGGCGTCCTGTTTACACATTTAAACCATATTTATACTTCGAATTTCGACTCCAAACTGTAGTAACTACATCTACAGGGTCTAAGGAAGATAATCAGGTAGTCTGTTTATAGATTAAATACATTGTGAGAGATCGCCAGCCCTCAGAAAAGTAGTAACTAAAATGACCCCATTCACCTCCTTGTTTTTAGTTAGCAAAATCGCGGCTGGTCTGTTTACACATTTAAACCATATTTACACTTCAAATTTTGACTCCACATCGTTGTACCAGCATCCCAAGGGTCTTAAGAAGTGAGCCAAGTTGTCTCATCACGTTTTTAAAGCGTTTCCAGAGATCGTCAGCTCATCACAGCAGTGGCTAAATGCTCATTCATTTCCAACGCTTAGCATGCTAATAGCGATTTATATGCTAACGCATCTAAAGCACAGTTAAACTTTAAATATCAACTCCACACAATAGCAGTACAACATCCTAGGTCTCAACAAGTAAACACAGTATGGGAATACTATTTTAAACACATTTCACCGATCGGTAATGACATCGGCGGCAGCGCTAACTTACGCTAACGTTACATTGGCTCGCTGTTTCACTGCTAACTGATTACTGTATAATATATAAGCTGCCTTTTCGCTGTAGCACATAATCTGTTTAAAGATTAAATACATTTTGAGAGATCGCCATTATGTAATGTAATGTAACGTAGCTGTAGCTAGGATGCTACAGTATAATTACAACATGTGACGATCTCTGAAAACAAAATTAAAGTATGAAAAGACTATACAGTTAATGTCCTTAGAGCCTTAAGGTTATAATATCACCAGGTGAAATCAAAAGATAAAGTTTAAGTGTATGTTTTATACATTAACATTAAGCCTGTTTGTTTAATGGCTGCCAATGCATAGGGGGCTAACCCTGGGCTCATTATTTACCTGTTGTGTCACGTGATGTTAGTTTGTTAACGGTAATGTTTCAATAGTGAATGTGAAGTACCAGTATATCATTAATCTTATGTGTGATATTCCTGGTAATATAGCAGTTAATATGTAGTTTAACCTGTAATGCTCCTTTAATGCTGTGCTGTGTCATTTCTTGTCATTGTAGAAATGGTTTTTGCAAAACTGCAATTCACAGCCTCGCAGCAGCTTCTCCTGCGGGCCTCTGGTGAGGCGGTGGCCTACATCGCCGCCAAGGGGCCACGCGGGGCCGCCGCTGCTGCGAGGGCCAAGAAGCCGGAGGAGGTGGAGAAGGAGGCACAAGCCCACGTTGTCTCCACGGGCGGTGACCCTGGGAACCACATGCTGGTGCTGAGCTGCCACAGCATCCAGTTTGGGAAGTACCAGGGTCAAACGTTCCGTTGGCTCCTGGAGAACGACGTGGGCTACACGGTACAGTTGGTCGCCAGCCACCAGCGGGAGCGGGAGAAGAGTGCCTCCGACAGCCCCCTTATGGCCAACAAGGACGCTCTCGCCCAGTACTCGTGCACCCACCCGGAGTTCGCTGAACACATAAGATTCCACCGGGCGCACGAGGAGGCCCGGGCTCGTGCCAGTCAGCCCGGGTGTGAGGGCGAGGCCCTTGTTGGCTTTGGGAAGTTTAAAGAGGACACCCTGAAGGACCTGTACGAGTCCTCTGATAAGGACCGCCAAGGGTGAGTGATTGGTGCTACACACAATGGATTGTGAATTGCTGTATGTCATTATTGTTCACTAATGTGATGCCGTCCATGTTGTAGATTTGTCAAGTGGCTTCGAGGGAAGCCACTTGACAACCACCCACCAGCAGCCGCAGCATCAGCAGCAGCGCCCCCACCACCACCAGCAGTGGCCCCTAACCCCTAACCCAAAATATGTGCAGGCCTGGGATGCAGAGAAGGCAGCCCTGGCAGCACAACCACCACAACCACCCCTGGACGCTGTTGGTCCCCAGGATGGACCCTCGGATGCTGACCTGCTCGCTGCCGCCATGGAGGTCGACCCGTGCAGGGATGCCCCATCAGCCGTGCCCCCCTTCTCTCTCTCCCAGCCACCGGAACGTCCCCTTCAGGACAACACCTGTGGGGAGAGGTCAGGCCCCGGCGCACAGGTATGCTCAGTGATGACATATTGTGTTGTAGTGTGTGTGTGTCTGTGTTCAGTACACTAACGGTCTGACACTGCTGTGTGTTTCAGCTGCTACCACGTGGCTGGAGGCTGACGCTCCCCGAAGAGCAGCACGACTGGGTGGGCCGGGCACTGTTCAGGAGGGCACCCAACGGGCAGGGTGTCCTCACATCTGAACTCCGCCTGTGGTGGCACCCACCAGGTGCCCGGCCCCTCTACACCCAGCCACCCGCCACAGCCCACCCCTTTTTCCAGAGTCCCTTTTTCCTGTGGGTGCCCTACAGGATGTGGGCGTACCACCTCCGCTGCCCCATCGTCGCCTGTGGGGGCAAGCTTGCGGGAGCTGGCCTCTACAAGACGGTGAGGAGGGTCTTGGACAGGAGCTGCTGGTACTTCATGGGCACGGAGTACCTGGAATGCAGCTCCTGTCACAAGAAGATGCCGGGATGGTCGCAGGACATCTTGGGACAGCTGGACGTGGCCCATCGTGAGCAGTTTCCAGCAGTTCTCACGTACAAGTAAGTAATGTAAACAGTAACAGCAACAGTAATGTATTTCTG